ATGCTCTTTTATAATAACTACTGATTAATTACTGATCACGCCAACATTAATTCCCAATAGCTAAGCCTTATCTTCCTTCTGGAGATTTATTACATTAATATACCTTAACCTATTCCAACACCTTAGTGTCTAAACTGTAAATGTTTATATGAGTTATTATAGATCTCCTCAGAGGAGCACAGGGTTTGGAATGTTGTTTTTATTTAGCCAGTCAAGGTCTGAAGAAAGAAATGAATAACAATAACCTACAAAAAAGTACAAACTGTAATGTAGCAATGAGTAACAAATATTTTCCATTAACATAGTTTAATTTTCTTTTAAATAATAAAAGCTAGTAATGAAGTACCATGTGTAATACTTTTCCACATCATCATTAACTACTGAAGAACAACACAGTAGCATTTCAGTTATTAGTAATGAGTCTCCATGTGTTTCTCTTTACAATACTGTTCCACATCATCACCTACTGAAGAGCAACACAGTAATACTTCAGTCATTTAGTTGATTTTCCATGTGTTATGTTTCACAACTTTATATATGCAACCACAAACTGATAAAACATACTATGTCTAAATAAATACGTAATTGTTGGCAAGTTGGCAAGGAATAAAACACTTTGTGACATGTTGTTATTGAAAATAATCAACTTCATTACCTCCACTTTGGGTCAGAATGCATCACACAGACCTATTATTGATTATTTTTCCAACAACAGCGCACATATCATGTTTTATTCCTTATATAGTAATACAATAATAATAAGTAACATTACAAACAGAGTTCATACATAACACTTTCCATTTTTTGTGGAAGATGCAGTTTTATATGAGAAAATGCAATCTAAGCAGTGTGGTAATTGGCAGCTGGACCCAATGGAATGACAACACCATTAATGACTACATCTAGTCACTGTAACATTCACTAACACCTGGGAAAAAACACAATTCATCACCTGGGTTAGAAAAACAGGCCTATATTTTTGTATACTTTTAATTCACTCACAATTCACAGAATGCAGTAATACACCTCTGGTAAGTAAATGCTTGTTGTGTTTAATAATGTAGCTATTCACTGATCAGCCATAACATTAAAACCACATGCCTAATATTGTGTAGGTCCCCATTGTGCCACCAAAACAGCTCTGACCCATCGAGGCACAGACTTCACAAGATCTCTGAAGGTGTGCTGTGGTTTCTGGCACCAAGCTGTTAGCAGCAGATTCTTCGAGTCCTGCAAGTTGCAAGGTGAGGCCTCCATGGATCGGACTTGCTTGTCCAGCACATCCCACAGATGCTCGATCGGACTGAGATCTGGGGAATTTGAAGGCCAAGTGAGCACCTTGAAGTCTTTGTCATGTTCCTCAAATCATTCCTGAACAATTTTTCAGTGTGGCAGGGCACATTATCCTGCTGAAAGAGGCCACTGCCATTAGGGAATACCGTTGCCATGAAGAGGTGCACTTGATCTGCAACAATGTTTAAGTAGGTGGTACGTGTCAATGTAACATCCATATGAATGCCAGGACTGAAGGTTTCCCAGCAGAACATTGCCCAAAGTATCACACTGCCTCTGCTGGTTTACCTTCTTCCCATAGTGCATCCTGGTGCCATATCTTCCCCAGGTAAGCAACACACACGCACCCGGCCATCCACATTATGTAAAAGAAAACTTGATTCATCAGACCAGGCCAACTTCTTCCACTGCTCCATGGTCCAGTTCTGATGCTCACATGCCCATTGTAGCGGTGGATGGGGGTCAGCATGGGCACTCTGACTGGTCAGACAAAAGTCTGATTAAGAAACACTTCACTTAGGCTATTCATTTATTTTTGACCACTGTTCATAGCCCAGAAGTTAGACAGGTTTATTATTATATATTACTGTATGAGATCAGCAAGCCATAACGACGTCAGTAAAATCTGTAAAATCAACACCAGGGAAAAGTGCAGTCTAATATCGGGTTCATTTTCACTCTGAGTCTGTGGTTAGTGTGTCCTACAGAGTGATTAAAATGAAAAACGGGTGACAGGCCTTCATTCATTCTGAATAATTGCTTGAAATATTTTTTTTTTTTACCCTCAGCAGAACAGCCATCACCTTGAAGTTAAATTAATATTTGATGAACTCTCAGCGACAGAGAGAATGTTTTCATACAATTCGCTGCAGTCGGGAAAATGGCTTTAGGTCTGAGATGAAGGTGATACAGTGTTAACCACAGGGTTGCGATGAGCCGGTCTCAATTTCATTTAGGAGCAGATCAAAAGGAGATGTTGCTCTGAATTTTATCATACTGCTATCCAAAATGTTCCAGCTGCATACACACACTCATGTGTTATACATAACCCTATTCCCTATCTTAAATGTGTCCTTTACAGTGTCAGCCTAACAGTAGTAGTAGTAGTTAAGCTCTGATTAACCAAGCAACCTTCTGTCAAGGTAACCATCCATATATTTTAATCCATGATCCCTCAGCAAACTCTGAAGTATAAATAATGTGATCACATCACTCAAGAATAAGATGAGCATTTTCAGGGGTCAACAAATGATAAATTAATTAGCTAGCCCAGACCCACATGTTTTGCTTGCCTGGAAACTTAACTAACGAGGGTAAAAGTGGTAGTTAATAATGCAATAACATGATGGGCTAGTTAACAAGTTAAATGCATTAATACAGTATAAGGCAGGAGTGTCCAGTCATATCCAGAAATAGCCACACCTGATAGTCTAGCCAGGATTAACTCATTAAACAGGTGGAATGAAATGTGGCTCCTGCTTGATTGGAATGAAAACCTGCATGCACGCAGGTCTGGAAGTATTTGGACAATGACAGAGTTTTTGTGATTTTGCCTTTATACACCACCACAATGGATTTGAAATAAAACAATCAAGATGTGTAGACTTTCAGCTTTATTTAAAGGGGTTCCACAAAATATGGCGTTTACTATTTAAGAATTACAGCCATTTTTAACAAAGTACCTCCATTTTCAGGGGCTCAAAGGTATTTGGACAAAGTGACATAATTGTAAATATAACCATAATTTTAATACTTGGATGAAAATCCTTTGCAGTCAATGACTGCCTGAAGTCTGAAGCCCATGGACATCACCAAATTCTGAGTTTCCTCCCTGGAGATGCTTTGCCAGGCCTTCACTGCAGCCACCTTCAGTTGCTGCTTGTTTGTGGGTCTTTCTGCCTTCAGTCTTGTAAGTGAAAAAGTTTTCAGTAAGTGAAAAGCAGCTCTATTAGATTGAGGTCAGGCGACTGACTTGGCCATTGAAGAATATTCCATTTCTTTGCTTTCAGAAAGTCTTGGAAAGTCTTTGCAGTATGTTTAGGGTCATTATCCAGCTGCACTGTGAAGCGGCGTCCTATCAGTTTTGTAGCATTTGGCTGAATGTGAGCAGAGAGTAGAGCCCTATACACCTCAGAATTCATCTTGCTACTTCTGTCAGCAGTCACATCATCAACATCTGATGATGGTCATGGAAAGAACGTGCAGGAAGAACATGGGAGCCTCTGAGTTAGAGATTCGATGGACTATACTAATAATAAAAAAAATGACTGCCACGGCTAATAAGATGAGTTCTTTGTCACAAATGGGCTATTTAAATTGTGTGATACTATAAAAACGGATTCAGAAATTTGGATTTGCGTCCACAGCTGGATTACTCAGAGATTTTGCCTTCATCTGTCTTTGATATAAGACAACAATAGCCATGAGAATAGGGAGTCTGTCAGGCAGCTATGAATAAATAATAGATTAGCCTGGACATGAAACTTGCTTGTCTCAGACACCTGGGCTACTAATTTGTCCATCCTTGTATTTATTAGTAAGCCCAAGTGAAAGTGCTACCCAGTCGCATATTTTGGTTGCCCATAAATCTATTTGACAAAGCTAAAATGTGGTAGCTAACTGTAGCTAGTGTAATAATGTACAGCAAACTAATTAGCAATTAGGATCAACGTATATCACACCATGTTTAAAGAGTTACATGCTAAATGAAATCATTTGTTTTGTGAAAGTCAACAATGAGTATTTTTTTTTTTTTCTTTTCTGGTTATTCAGCCTACTTATCTATTATTCCGATGTGCCTACCCTGACTTTATGTATGTATGTGCAGCAGGATTCTCTGTAACTAAAGTGTCTAAAATATCTTTTGAGTGTTATTGTTAGTGACAAGAATGCTACAGTTGTCTGCTTAAGCCCTTCACCTTTTCCCTCCAAACACATGCACAGGAGAGATGGAGCGAGATAGGACACATTACTCATCAGTGATCTGACCCCCATGTCTCCCTCTTTCACCTGCCCCCGGTCCAGTTTCTCCAACACATCGCAGAGGGACGATCAGTTTGACTTTCAGAAAGTGTTCAAAGTGACAGCCCCTGAAGCCATACAGTGGAAGCAACGTTGGTTTAAATTGCATTTCTGTCCAGGTTGAGACCTCATCTATTCTTTCTACAGGCTGATGATGCTTCACCACCTACTTGTCTCAAATAAATAAAATTTTGCCTGGGCAAATCTCGAGCGTTTGGATATTGTCTGAATTTTAAAGCAATAAGGAATGCATTAGGGAAAAGGAAAAGGTCACATTGCTGTGGTTACTTTATTGTTTGATGACACTGAATGGGTTGCATTTGAAATGTTCCTCTTTTCCAAATTTGAGAGTAGAATCATGGTCATGACCAGCTCTTAGGCATGCAGCATTACAGATGCCAATGTCACAGGCAAAACTGGGGTTATTAAAATTATGAAATTTATACACTTTCCCCCTTATTCCAAATGTTGTCAATCAGCAAGGGTTAAATAAGGATTTATATTGTATTGTACCTCTATTTCCTTTATTGGTGCCTACAATTGTTGTCCTCTTTTGGCTGCTCCTGTTAGGGGGTCACCGAGTCAGATCATTGGTCTAAATAATTGGTTTGACACAGTTTTTAAACCGGACGCAACCTTCCCCATTCTAATGAGGCTTTGGGTCGGCACTGAGTGGCTGGGGTTGGTTACCTGGCCAGGAGTTGAACCTGGGTGGCAGTGGTGAGAGCACTGTGGCCTAACCACTAGACCTCCAGGGACCCCATGTTGGTGTCTACAATTACTCCATGTTATACCACAGTGCTATTAATTTCTCTAATCTGATTGGTCAGATGATGTTGATTAATTTTCTTTAACAGTAATTCTGACAGTAGTTATGACTGAGAGGCAAATCACAGGTTTATATGAATACACTCTTTCTAATATTTTATCATTTCTGTAGTAACAGCTCATACACAGGGACTTGTATGGTCGGATGCTCCATGTAATCTATATAAATATATAGATTAAAAACATGTTATTTAACAAAAGTAGAATGCATAATAGTAGATATGGTGACGTTTCTGTTAGTTTCTGATATATTTATTTAACACTCATGGAAGGAGTCTCCACTGTTACTGCTCTGTGACATGACAATCTTCATATTTTTGTCTTATTAACTTTAAGACAGATAAAAAAAAACAGAAACTGGTACTGTTTATAGCAGCTATAGTTGCCTATATATACATATATATATATAATAAGAACTTGTCTCCCAGACATTCAATAACATTTAGTGTAACTATAAACAGACAAAAAGGATGACATGTTGTTCATTAATAAATTAAAACAATTGTAATAGTAGGTAAATTGCTGTGGTAGAAGAGGAATAAAATCATTGAAATGTGGTTAGAACAAGTTTTCTAAATCCCTTGACATCCCACAGAAATGGTTTTTCTCAGACCGCCACACAAACACCATAGTGGAAGCATCTTATCACTGTATGACAGTAAGGTAATAGCACCATGGCATAAGCGCCTTTCTCCATCCATAGAGACTGATGGGTACTACAGGATAAGAGAGGAATCCACATCACTCAAACAGCCCAGCAATGTCTGATGTCGCTTTAGAGTTCTGCATAATGTGCTTCAGTCTTTGCACGGCCGATTGATTTAAAGCAGCGCCGATTGGATTTGTCGAGTCTCCACAAAGCCGCGTGCAAATCACACTGAGAGAACGGGATTTACTCAAATCTCTCGCATAATCCAATAGGAAAGCGTCAGAAAAGCAGCTCACAAAATGTTCCCTGAGTACTCGGTGCAAAACGGTAAGAGTGTGTGAGTGGGTAACATTGAGGGCAGCTTTAACCGGTCAGAATTCAATAGGAGTCGAGGAGGCTGGATGGATGAAGTGAAAGAGAGAAAGACAGCAAAACCTTCAAACATGGCTGCTAAAAGGTGCTGATGATGGAAGGGTTTTTTTTTTTTTTGAATTCAGAAGATTTCTGAGTCAGATATTTGAGAAGTGGAACAAGCTGGCTCAGTATTTAAGGATTTCAGCTACTGATTGGAAGGTTGTAAATTCAGGTCCCAGCACTGCCAAGCTGCCTCGGTTGGGACTGTGAGCAAGACCCTTAACCATCAAATGCTATTATATCCTGTTTCAATTGTAAACTGCTTTAGATAAAAGCAACAGCTATATGAGTAAAATGTAAATTCTCTCAGTGCCTCCTGTTGAGCCAGATATCACACTGTAGTGTTTAAAGCAGTGACTGTCACACAAATTGATATACTGTATAGTATGTACTTGTCCTTGGTACATCAACACAAATTCAGCTGTTAACCCATCAACCTTTAGAGCTACATTCCCACACTGGCACTCAGCCTCATCTCGAGGGTTAAATAGCGGTTAACTGTTTGTGTGTGTGTGTGTTTGTGGACACCAGGGATAGAAATTAGAAAATCAAATGCTCGTGCCCTAACACAGCAGATTATTACAGTCACAATCAAATTAACACAGGAGGTATTGCGGTCAGTCAGACGAGTTATAGCACCTGATCACACTGATAAATGTCTATAATAAAGCCTCAATGCCTCTGACTACATAAACTTGGTTCTGTGCATCAGAGGAATAGCCAAGTCATCATATAAGCTATAAAGAATATTTCGTACACAATCTAATAAAAGCACTCATGTAGCCATGTAAGATGAATGGTTGGTAGGATCAGTAAATATGGATGATGATGATGATGATGATGATGATGATGATGATGATGATGATGAAGCACAGAACAAGAGCTGTGACTGATCTCTGATTTCAAGACACTGTACTGTGTACAAGTTTGGATATTAATGTGAATATGAATTTACTAAGCTTTTTTTTTTTAGTTTTATTTTTTATAGACCTGTAATAATCCTATGTCACTAAATCCCCCTTTCAGCACACGGTACGTTTCCAAATGCAACAAGCGCTGCTTACATGTCATTCTGTTTTTAGTTCATATGATGTGCTTTTGTTTCTGTTCTATTCTTGTCTCCGCCCCTGTGTTGTCATTGATGCATTACCCTATGTATCCACCTGTTCTGAGTTAGCTCATATGTAGATTAGTTTGTCCATCTTGCTGTTTCCTTGACAAAGGAAAGTCTCATTGATTGTGCTTTTTTTCCTCCTCCTCAGTATCTTCTCACAAATTCCCATCCACTAGCTAACTCTCCTCTATCACACAAGAGCTACCAGGGGCAAACGCAGGGCAGCATAACACACATTTGGAGGAAAGCACTATCTATATATACCCTCTTCTGCATCCATGAGCTCACAGATGCCCATGATTTGCTAATGATGCTGAGATTGACAGAGGAGAGAGAGTATGACATGCCTCCTACCCAGAGAGTATGGACAATTCTGCTTTCTTGACTCCTGACCACAAATAGCTACGGCATCATTGGGATTCAAGCTTGAGTCTCCCGAGGTTAGGGTGAAGTTCCCATGAATAAGCTGTTACTATAGAAATGATAAAGTATTACAGTAGTATGTGCACATTAATATAAACCTCACATTGGAATTACTGTCAGAACTGCTGTTAGAGAAGATTAATAAACACCTCCTGACCTTCAGAATTGAGAATTCAAAAGCTCAGTGATATATATAAAATGTTCACCTTCAAATTGTTCTAAGCCAAGGGCCACAAAATTGCTTACACAGGCCCTGAAGGTTGTGCCTGTGTACGTGAGCTACCTGCAGCTTTTTTAATATCAATAATACATGATGGTTCAGCATATTAGATTTCTTTATTTTGTAGCAGAAAGGTACAGGATTAATATTGACCACAAACTGTAATTTATTTAATTTTCATATGGCCATTATTTAGAAATGAGCAAGAAAGAAAAAAATTCTGGAACTTGTCGGACCTTTCCATTAGAACATCACTAAAGTTAATCACAGGGAATCAAGATGCAGTTAATGATACGTTTGTGTGTGTGTGTGTGTGTGTGTGTGTGTGTGTGCTGTCCTTTGGGTCTTCCCTTGCTGCGTACTGCCCTAAATAAGACGAATTGCTATGCCAATGCAAGCTGACCACAAAACCTTGTGAACCTTAACCAAATTACAGGCAGAATCTACAGAGATGTGATCAGACAGCATTGCCGGGCCAGCAGACATCCATCAGAGACCCACCGGACCCCTAGCAAGTCCGCTACTGTGACACAGGGAGAAGCCTGGCCTTGGGGACAAAACATGAAGGCACTGGGGTCTGTGAGAGTCATCATTTACTGAGAGAAGGCTCGAGAAAGATTCATCCACAGGCCAGTGAGTAAATATAGAACTGATCTTTCTTGTTTACTTTTATCTTGTTATTTTAACGATACTCAATTCAGGACAAGAAAAACAAGAGAAAACCTATAGAGACCAACATAGGACACATATTTACTTTCTTCTATAGCAGCTTTTATTTGCCAGTGAAATGTTGATGCCATTGCTTTTCTGTAGGTTCAAATTTAGCCTACTAACTAATTAACCTGTGGTGGTTGTACTGGTTCAAACACCAGTGTTGTGGTTACTGGCTATTTTATTTATAACATTGCGTATTTCACCCTGGTCCTTTTGTCGTGCCTCTTCTTGCATTTAATAAATAAGTATGTATCAATGCCATAGCCAGGAATTGATTTCAGATGGGTGGATGAGAAAATATGATTTTAAAAAAAATCACTGCATGATTTTACAATTAAATTGAGATGTGACTGTGTGATGTGACTCTTTTTTTGTGGATCTCAGACACCAGTAGAAGCAGTGATGGCATTCAGAATTTGTCATTTAATTATTTAAGGGACGAAATGCCATCAACCAATCTTGCCATATTAATAACATTAATACTGATAAAGAATAATAAAACCTTATGACAGTTCCACTGAAAATGATTAAAAATTCATGCTAGTGATGAGGGGGAAATGGTAAGGAATCTTACCTTCTAAAATTAGAACTACCCTTCTCTTTGTCCTCCAGTACTTTATCAGCTGTTACTTTGATATCCGTGAGCTCAGAGTGCAGCTAGCTTCCTAGTAGCTTTAAAACAGAAATGGGAAAAATGCCTGATCCTGATTGGTTGATCCTGTTTTTCACCATAGCAGCTCGTAGCCAATACAATGTGGTTAAAGAACTCTGTTTATGAACACGAGTGTAGAGCAATTGCTGCACAAAACATGTTATTTGAAATCAGTTGTAATCTGCTGTACATAAGCATTCGGAACTGTCATATCTCCAATCCATGGTTTTCTCTGATTTTCCAAAAACATGCCAGGAGATGTATTTGCTACACTGAAGTTGCCACTAGGTGTGAATGAATGTATGTAGGTGTGTATGTGATGTCCTGTAATGGACTGGTGTCCCATTGGCCTCATTCCAAGTGATAAAGCAGTAACTGAATATGAATGAATTAAAATCATGTAATTATTATCACTAAACGAATTAGCTCAATATTTAAATCCCCCCACAGTGTCTTTTGTATTCTTGCTCTTTGAGGTTTTGAAGTTTTATTCTAGGTCAGACCTGACAAAAAAATGTGTTTTCCTTGGCACCTTGGCAGACACTGTTAGTGCAAATGTGAATGGACCAGAAAGACCGCTGGTCTCATTTCTCAAAGTCAAGGAAATGCTATGACAGTATAGCACCAGCAAAACACCTATGTCTCCTTCTGTAACTGTGCTGGGCTGCAATACAGAATATTAAGTATGTGTTCTGACAGGTTTCCCACAGAGATTTGTAGCAGATCTTATTACTTAGAGTTTGT